GGGCGGGGTGGGGCGGGTGTACGTATCGCAGTGTGCCCTGGAGTAGGACGTGAAGGCATGCGTACCGCCGCCGGGGCGGGTGGCGTCCGGAAACACAAGGCGGCCCATTCAGACGCAGCCGGTGGCGCGTGGCCCGAGAAAGTAATTGGTCACTCACTCACATTTGAGTTGCTCAAGCGGCCGCCGCCCCGCAACACAGTGTGGTGCGCACTGCAGCCCCGTCAAAGGCGCCGTTGTGCCCGGGATGTATGTATACCGCACCCCGCGGGGAAGCGAAGCGCGGGATAGTTCGAAAAGAAGCGTGCAGTCGGCTTTTATTATACATATTATACAAGCGGCACCCGGAGCACTTGACACGGGCACAAAGCGGAGAGAGAGAGAGAGAGAGAGAGAGAGAGAGAGAGAGAGAGAGAGAGAGAGAGAGGGAGAGGCGTAACCCAGTCCGTCGACAAAGAGTATGTGCGAGTCACGGTGTCGCCGGCTTCCGCACCTTACATGTTGTGTAGTGTGTCGAATGCATCGCGCGCGTGTCATCAGATTTGCATAACGTGGACTTTTTTTTGTGTGTGAGCGCCCCACGTCGATCGCAGCAGCAGCAGCAGCAGCGTGAGACTCTGCAGGATTCTCTGGAAGCCCAAGAGTGTACATGTATGCAAAAGTTAGTGTGACATGCGCACGTATGAAGGGTACAGTGTGTACATGGCCTGATACATACTATTTTCACCATATACATGATCATGTAGACACTATCTCCTGTTAACATAATTGTACACTTTACCTGCTGCACTCATGTAGGTATTTAGGAGGTGATGCATACATGTACGCACTTGTGTTTTTAAGAGTTTTCAGTGCGGAAGAACAATAACAAGTGGCGTCTGCTCCTCGTGCCGCGGCCCATCCCAGTGCAACTCGTCGGCGTTGTTATTACCAGCTCCGCACGCCTCCGAATGTCAGGAATCTGACTCGCGCCACCCGACTCTACTTTCACCGAAGCGTGATGATGCTTCACAGCGGGTCCCATTTCCGGACGCACCCGAGCTTCAGCCGGCTTCAGCCCGGCCGGGTACGGCACGCAGACCCGCGCAAGGTTTGGTGCACCAAGCACAGCGATCAACACCTAAGGCAGCAGTTCTGTATCGAATAGTGCGTAGGAAATCTTTGCACGAAGACTGGCGGGTAGTGATACAAACTTGTGTCACCTCTGGATTGTTATTACTGCCTTATGTCATTAAAAACAAAAGTAGGTACAATACATAATTCCATTTCTGAAAATAGTTAATATGCATGAAAAATCGTACGAGTAGAATGGTCCGCCGCTCGTTCGGCGAATAGGTTCTTACCCAACGCCCGATGAAAGTGACGTTTGAATGCAGCGCGCGAATTATATTTCAAGCGACAACGAGTTTTCTGCCCCGGTCTCTCTCTCTCTCTCCCTCTCTCTCTCTCTCTCTCTCTCTCTCTCTCTCTCTCTC